ACGTTTCGGTTTTTACGGTTTTACGTTACGTTCCGTTCTCTACACGTCGGTGGGTCGGTCGTACTACTTCGTTCTTACTATATATATATATATATATATATATATATATATATATATATATATAATATAGTGATTTTACCTACTCACATCACCATCCAAGTTCACACGATCACAGTTGTCTGGTAGTGTTTCAATTTTCATTTTTTTTTACTTATCGGAATGATCTGAAATTCGGAGCATGTGTACACTTTAGTGAGGCGCACCTAATAAAAATATGAAAAAAATAATTCGCAAAATATAAATTAATCAAAATACCCCGTAAATTTTTGAAACACTATTAGACAATCGTGACTGTTGGATGGTGATGAGCATAGGCGAAATCGCTGTTCATTTTCGCCTATAGGCGTTGGGAAGACTTTTCCTATATATATATATATAATTTGTATTTTAAAAATTAAAATACTACCTGACAATTGTGACCGTGTGATGAACTTTGGACAGTGATTAGCATAGGCGAAATCACTGTTCATTTTTGCCTATGGCTGGGATTCCACCTATATTACTATTAATTGTAGATGCCAAGTGTTGTTAGCTTTTTCCATATATCTATATTGGGTAGGTAAACACATCCTACATGAAATCCTTGAACTACCTTGGATTTGTAAAGTTCTTTCAGTAACTTAGGTGCTCACCACCAATGTAACTCTCTCGAATAATTTTATCCCCATGCATCTATATACAGCCCTTCCTGCTGCTTCCTGATTTTAGATACTTCCTTGTAAATTATGAAGCCAGTACTCAGGTCTTGGACATAGAACACCCTTCTCTATAATGTCAACAACTTTCAATTGACAACAGTTCTTGGTACTTTTTAAGGGCAAATGGGAAACTATTCCTTTTGTGATACGATGACATAGACATAGATTAAATAGGCTGAAATCATCCTAATGGAGCACTAAATGTATTTTAAATAAAATAACCCCTTCTGAATGGGTTCTCTTCATTTGTCCTTGACAAATGACAAAAATTATTCCTGTCAAGTTGTGAGAGGATCTTGAGGCCAAGGTTACTTGAGGCCCAGAATTTGGGTATGGGATTCTAGACTTACAAGGATGGGACTCTCTCTCTCACACACACACGTGCAACACGCACACATGTACACACAAAATCACATACATCTGCATGCACACGTCCACACACACACAGTGTGTGCACAGACCTCCTAGGCACAGGGGCTTAATATGATAATTGCCTACGCACAGGGATTCTATACGATGATTAATTACTTTTTGAATGAATGGATGGTTATGTTGTCCAGTACCTCTTTTTTATCTGAAATGTTCATCCGGGAGAATGAGAATATGATCTCTTCATTCAAGTGTAACTCATTATGCAAGATGTATCATCACTCATGTAGGCTCAAGTTGATGGGATAGATTTATTTCAAAAGACATTATGTGTCTGCATGCATGCTTCTCCAATCCCTTAGATCACTATGCTGCTGTTCATTTTTTTTAAGACCCCCTCTTGATAGGTTTGTAATAGAGTTTTTATTTTATTTCAGGAGAATATCATCAATGAATCTGAACTCTCCGTAAACAACTCTGCATTGGGAAGCTCCCTGGCGCCCTTAGTTCAAGTGCAAAAGAAAGAGGGCATAATTGGGAAATCTATTGACAAGCTGAAAGAAACTACCACGGTAGTGTTGCGTTTTTTAGTTCTCTTTAGGTCGTTGCATAAATTTCTCTAGTTCTTGTATAGGAAGCAACCTATATCCATAAGATTTAGAGGGATAAATTCATATTTAATGACGTGAAATATGGGCTTACAATTCATTGACAAGAGAGGGAGGAGTATCTTCGTGATAGGTTTAGATACATAATTTCACTGTAAACAAATTGTTTCTGTTTTGTCAAAAACAAATTGTTTCTGTTTTGTCAGGCCTGTATATCTCAGAGCTTTCTTGCTTACATCTCCATGCAGTAACGAGTTAGTCGAGACTCTAGAATTTGGATGCTACCTTGTACTATCATTACCCTCAATGGATAAGAAGTGCTGAAATTACCAGCATGTTCATTTACTAAACCTGAATAAGTAGTTAATTGTGCATAAATATGCAGTTTGACTTCTTTCAAATAATTTCTATATTTGTTTATTTTGTCAGTATAGCTCTATGTTTTGGAGTATGGTTGACTTTTAATTCACGTAAACAGGATGTATTGCAAGGAACCCAACTTCTTGCCATAGATGTGGCAGCAGCGATGGTACTGCTTAGGAGGGCAATCACAGGCGATGAACTCACAGAGAAAGAGAAGAAGTCTCTCCGAAGGACATTAATTGACTTGGCATCAGTAATACCTATTGGCATTCTCATGCTTCTCCCTGTGAGTTTTAGATGGCTGTCCCTGAATATATATTTCGTGTCTGCATTTTTTTTTCACATTTATATGGCTGGAAATTAGTTTCTGTTGTAGAAGAACAAACCTAGTTATAATTTGAACATGACACAGTTGCATGATGGAAATTGTTGGCTTCTGTTTAAAGTTAGTATAGAGAACATGGTTGCACCATGGCTAAACAATCCCCATTTCTGTTTAGAGTTAGTATAGAGAATATGGTTGCACCATGACTAAACAATCCCTATTTCCTTATTTCCTTATTGGCTTCTGTTTAAAGTTGGTATAGAGAACATGGTTTCACCATGGCTAAACAATCCCTATTTCCTTGCCTGGGTTACCAGTCTCAGAATGGACTCTGATAAATCTACTCCTCCCCTGTGAAAACTCTATATGAACATTTATAATCCATACCATTCACCTTTCTGGAGGTATGGCCCTTTGGTTGCACATCAAAGAACTCAGAGATGCACAATGAAGAACCTTTAGAACATTTTGAACCGTCTCCCAGGTCTATAACTTCGAGCTTATAACACTTATTTCACTCTTAATTATTCTTGCGTTACTCTAGAGTTGTTCTCGTTCATTGCTAGTCACTTGATTTCCATCTTATATGGAGTATGCTTCATGCATGAGTTGAACATTTTTTAAATTTCAGGTTACTGCTGTTGGGCATGCAGCCATACTAGCAGCAATTCAGAGATACGTGCCTGCTCTGGTATGGAATTTCTTTCTGAAGTCTTATGTCTAGGGCTTCTCTCTCTCCTACCCCTTCGGCCCCCTCTCCCTCCCTCTCTCTACAATCCTGATCTTTGAAAAACCAACTGGTTGCTCTTGACACCATGTTTCCTTGTCTATAGATTCCTTCTGCCTATGCACCGGAGAGGCTGGACTTGCTGAGGCAGCTTGAGAAAGTGAAGGAAATGGAAGACAATGATGGAAGTCCAGATGATAGTGGAGTGGCACAAGCTAGGGAGAACTGAAGGTCCACAAGTAGTTGCATGGTCCTCATGAGGCAATTGATGGGCTGATTGGTTGAATTCGTGTAAAATGTTGATACTGTTTACATGTAGTCTCAACTTTTCCTTGTATTGTTTGTATCTGTCCTATAGCCATTTGACAACAAGTTGGCATAGAGGAGCTCATTCCAAGTGTCAGGCACTCCAGGAAGGCACCAGTGGCTACAGTCTTGCTGGATTGGAGGTATGCCTTCCTCTCTATGTATTGATGGATGACCATCTTTCCTGAACTCTGTCAAGTATGTGATGTTCAAAAAATGCACATTTCTTTTGACATATTTGATGTGCTCAATAGTTTCTGATATGACTTGGTTATTCCATGGCTCCCTTTCCAGTTCTGTTAAATTAGTCTCTGGCTGAGTATTAGCATGACACTGACCTCCATCATTCCATGTTCCACCTCTGCTGTTCGCATTCAGGAACACAATTTACTAAGTCAGGTTTGGGATAGGGAATGTTTGCTATAATCCGAAGGAATATGGATTGTAATCTAGGGTTTGGTGGGTCCCAATCCCTCTCATCACTGCCCATTGTATCATTGAATGGTGATGATACTAATGGACTATGGTATTTGATAGTCCATTGGATTATAGCATATGTAGCCTTTGGGTTAGGAGTATCCAAGCACAGTAAGGAACTTGTTTGTTGTGATTACCTGAAATGTACCGGAGAGTAGCTTCGGAAGAAAACATGGCTCCCTTGAGTGTTCAAATTGTGAACTACCCATTGCTTCCATGTCTGCAAGGACTTGCGGAAAGCATCTTTGACATCCATTGTCATGTTGATAGCTTCTCCTTCTTGAAAGTAGCAACCCCTGAAGCACAAATAACACAATTTTAAGATTTTTGGATTTTGGCAATAGCAACCTGGGGCCAGAAACAGGAGGATACTGATTCTAAAACTAATTTGATTGGAAAGAAGGAAAATCAACCCAAACTGCACATTTGGGCCTGATATTACATTCTACTTTCATATAGGTAAACATTTTAAATGTCTGTTTCAAACTTGGTATTGGTTTTAATCCATATAATAGAATGGATGATCAATGAAAATTGTCCGTTCTTGCAAAGTATACCCATGTCGTTGATGGATATATATGCTACAAGATGGGACATTTGCCATCTTTCATGTTCACCATCGAAGAGAAAGGATGGTGGATGTACCATACACCATTGGTGTAGGGTACACTTCTGATAAAACATTAATCTTCTCTAATGTAAGCTAGTTTCATTGGAGTATATTGCGCATACATTTTTTGGGTTTTCTCATGGTTCCACCAATGCCCAGCATTGAAAACGAGAAGGTCTGAGCCCACCCACCCAGATGACCACCAATGGAGCTTATCAATTCTGATTGCACTTCTGACCTTAACGGAGGAATTCTTAGGAGGGGAACCTGTGAGCATGAGGAAAGGCAGTCTGTAGTATTCAACTGTGCAGTTATATTCCTCGAATTTGATGGAAAGATACCCCTTGTGTTTTGTTATAGGTTTTCCATTCTCTTCGTAAATGCTTGATTTGTTAGAAACAAACTGAGCTAGCATGCAAACCAGTGACTCCCATTGGTTCCTTCCTATGGAGTCACCTGCAAATACGATGCGCCCATTTCGGCTTCTCTCCAGCATATCCTTTCCATCGAATCTGCGATAACAGACATGAAAATAAGTAACAAGCATTTTTTTTCTTTGCTTTCAACTCTCTCTGGGGGTTAAGTTGACATTGATGCTGGTTGTGGAGCATGGCAAAAGCACTGCAACAGAAAAGTGATGATCCATTGCATGCAATGCAGATAACATTAAAATTGAAGTTGTGTTTCACTAATTCTTGGGTTATTTTCTCTGCGAGACATTGATGTCCATGTAGGCAGACATTTATGTTTGGAAGTGGCATTTTCCATTATTACAGTCTTAATAACATTCTGTTATGTCGTTTCTTAGAACTAGTTAATAGAGAAAAACTCTCCCTCGGGGGTTAACACAGATGCTGGTTGTGGAACTTACCATAAGCACAAGAACAGAAAAGTACAGATTAAATTGCTTGCAATGCAGTTAACTTCAAAATTAGAGACGAGGTTCACTGCTAATATGGTTGTTTTCTAGGCAAGAGATATGTAATGCTGAGGCAGATATTTCGGTTTAGAAGTGGCATTTACCATTATTTTAAGGACCTTTGCTGCTGCCAACTTGCCATTATAAAGACTTAATAACACTGTTATGCAATTTCTTTGGAACAAGTTATAGAGGAAAACTAAAACAATGTCATTGTTTTGTTGCAATGGCAAGAGCCGCTACTGTTACTAATGTCTTTTAAAGCACTAAGTTTCTGGTGTGTGCTAGTAAGAATAATGCATGCATGCGAATATACAACACTACATGCACATGCGTTTTACATACACATTCCACATTCATGCCAGTGTGCATATGCATTTTACATACCTGAACATGAATTATAAGAGTGTCATTATTAGATCCAAATCATCTACAAGACCTTGGGGATCAAATGCAATGCAATTCACATGAGGGTACCATAAAAGTATTGCTCTTTTAAATGCACACAGCTTAAGACCTCTTATGGCATAGGGTGCTTGTTCACCTGACCCAAAGATATTGTAGAGAGGCTAAATTATGGGTTTGTCCAATTTAAATAAAGAGCATTAATCCCATTGATTAAAAGAGGATGAGTTAATTTATACTTCAGAATACTTTTGTAGTTCATGGATCGTAAGTTAGCCATTATTCTACTAAACTTCGTGTTCATGGAAGAGAAAGCAATCCAGACTGGCTTGCGGGTGCCACTGTTTTTAGATTTTCTGGTGTTCAATTTCCAATAGCCCACGTCTTTTTTTTTTTTTCCTTTCAGGTGTTTAATTACCAATAGCCCAATGCATTGGAGCCTTTATTTCAACAGTTGGTTTGTCAAAGGGTTTTATTTTTCCAAGGAGCAAATTATGAAAGTAAAGACGAAAAATCTAGTTTAGGAAACAACAATTCTTTTTGGATGGGAGAAACAAAAGAAAACTGGGATATGGGTACTGTTTGAATGTCAGTATTCCCCTCGTGTTTGACTCCTTTTATTAATTAAAGGGTGGCCAGATGTGTGTAATTTCCACTGAAGCAAGTTAAGAAAAACAAATTCATAAATTAATTAGCAAAACAAGTTTACAGTACTGCTCAAATTTTCTTTTTGGGTATTTTCAACTTTCTTGATATGAAATTGCAAACAAGTTTGTTAAAATGTGTTATGTTTTTTTTATGGGTGCGGTTTGTACAGAGCCTAGGCTCTAAACAATCAAATTAGAGCCTACCTTCAAATAGTCTCGAGAAATCTTTGTGGTAGCCTTAAAATATATTTTTATCTTTATTTATAAAGTTTAAAGCTTTGAAAATAGTGTAGATAGATCTATGAAAGCTTAAAAATCTTGAAATTGACAGGTAAAAAAATGGGTTACAAAATACCCTATTTCCAAAACTTAAAATCCTTTTTTATGTTTTATTTTATGTATATGCATCTTGATGTTGTGATCAATTTGAGGATATTTGGGCATGAAAACCTCAAATTTTTGAGGTAGGCTCAAATTTTTGAAGTAGGCTCAAATTTTCCCTTTTTTTATTAGTTTTGTGGACCAGCCTACCAATCCATAGTTAGTTATGGCTTTTCTTCTTTTTAATGGTGCAAGTTTGGGACTCCGTGAAGTAAAACTATAAGAATGAAAACCTGCAGTAGCTGGGACGCAATATGGAAAAAATAACAATGGTCATGATATTGATAATGATTATGTTAATAATAAAGTCTACCAAATCCCAATAAGGAGGTAGAAATATTCAAGGAGTAATAATAAGATTACAAACTCCCAAAAGAAAATGGTTTCAGATTCAAACTCTAAAAAGTCCGACGCAAGTTTGCGTGGGTTCTACTTCTACTGTTATACATAGAGATTACAAATTTCTTGTTTTTGGGAAGGCGAATTCCAAATCCCATTCTGCTTATCAAACAAATTCAGATAAAAACTAACAACGATATAATCAAATACTGGTAAGTTAGAGAGAGAGAGAGAGAAACCTTGGAAGATCACAGCCTGCAGGTTGCCATCTCCACCTCAGGTAATCCCTGTCTTTCCTGCCATTGTCGTGGCACCTAAAGCCAGGATCGAGAAATGCACAATTTCCTGCATAATCGAAATATGGGTAGTTCTCGTCTTGAACCCACCGGCCATAAGAGAAATCACATTTACTATTGACATTCATAGAAGTCTTGCTGTTGGTACTTGAATTGGAGAGATCCGGTGCCAAGAAGCTGAGCTTTTCGGCAGCGACTTCGCGGAGGAGGGAGAGAGGTTGGGTGCCTAGAAACAGAAAGCACGAAACGAACGTGAGGAGAATGATGAAAGGAAGCATGAATTCTCTCCCATAGGAGGGGATGGGCAAGAAGCAATGGCAACGATGGTGATGTTGATCTTCCATTCTATGCAGGAGAGAGAGACTGCATAGAGGAAAATGAGTTATTGAGAGAGAGAGGTTTCATGGACAATGAGGATTTACCATATAAAGGGGAGAGAGTTTCTTAAAAATACTATATAAAGGGGAGATCATAGATAGCATTTGGAGAAAGGTTCTTATTTTATCCTTCAAATGACAACGAATGGATGGAGACAGAGGACTTGCTTTGTGTTACATAGGGAAGAATTTCAATAGGGTGTTCTTTATATGCTCTATGGTTTTTAAGTATTAAAATAGTATGCCATGGTTTATATAAAGATTATTAGCAACCGAACTGTACATTTTACTTGACTCGAAGAAGCAGATAATTAAAAGCCGTTGACCTTTCTTACGGTGAGAGATAGCTCGTCGGGAAATTTCATTTTGGGGTAGAAATTTGAAACCGTACATGTGGAATATCGATTATGTCTAACAACATGATAAGCATTGCTTGATTTAGCAAGGCTTAATCTTTGTGGTTGGCTTTTTTAGGGTTTTCTTGGCATGACCGAGTCTCCATTTGTCTCTTCTATTATTATTATTATTATTGTTGTTGTTGTTATTGTTGTTGTTGGATCCTGGTTTGGTTGGATCTATTGCTACCCTCACTATGACCTTCCGGTCGTGTCCATTGCTACCCTCACTATGAGCTTCCTTTTTTGTAGCCTGAACTCATTTTTGAGGGGTGGGCAATTAGAGAGAGAGACATTCAAGATTCAGAGTCAGTTATATTTCCAAGAAATTGAGAGCGAGAGGATGGCAATGGGCCTTTGCCATTTAGGGAACCAAGAGAAGACCGAAAATATTGAAACGATTTTAAGGTTGGGGTTTTGGCTTTTGGGTAAACTAAAAATGCGGGTCTGGCTATAGCAGGACCCGTACCCGAGACTATTCGGGCATCCTTTATTGGACCCAAACTCTACCCGCGAGTCCAAAACTTGGACCCATACCTGGACCCGTGTTGGCTATACCTAATGAGTATAAGTCTGGTCTACGTCCATTGCCACCCCTAAATGTGCCGGACTAGCTCTATATTCAAGTTTTCAAGTTTGGCATATTTAGTACTGGATCGATACATTCCACGCATCACATTTTGGAATCATCGGTTATAATAACTGATATTCACATTTTGGACATTTTAGCATTGAAATGTTTAATATTTTAAAATAAATGATCTCGACCGTGAGATTCATGTACATGAAAAAAGGGAATTTCAGTTCTAAAAATAGTTCATCTTCTAACACATTATCTGGACCATCCATTTTAACCTTCGGGCTTTCTTGTTACCGAATACACACAGTTAAGGCTAACCATCTCTTTTCCATCTTCATAATTTTACCATTTTACACCTTTTTCCGTCTTGCATCAATTGACCATTCAAAAAAATAACTTTTGGTTAAAAAAAAGGCACTTTTTTACTTGGGGGATGATTGCAAAGAAAAATAATGTTGGGTTAATAGTCTGGTATAAAAACTGTTGAGGGGTGGATGTTTAGAAAGTACAACTTTTTTATTTTTTGTTTTTATTTTTTATTTTTATTTTTAAGGTGGGGTGTTTGTGTTTTATAATTTTCCCTATTTTTTGTTTTTGGAAAAGCTTTCAGTATCCCCAAGAGTATTGGACAATAATGTTCCCTTACCTCAAAGTGTCAATAACTGCTTTCCCAACGGGTATCCCAAATGCATTGCCAAGACTGAATGAATTTTAGGTCATCCATTGGAATGGGCAGTGGATTTAAGTTACAACATACAATCTAAAAACAATCCAAGAGAAGAAAAGCATTGAAAATTTTTAAGAAACGAGTCGAGATTAAATTGGCTACCGTTTGGCTATTTGTACCAAGTGTATTAAAAAAAAAAAAGCATTGAAAATGCTGTAAATCTACCATCATGGTAGAGGTCACTACCACCCGATGAATGTAATCCGAGTTCGAAAGTGAAAGATTACGTCTTAAAATTCCATGTTCGAACGTGAAGGATTACGTTTTAAAATTCATGAAAGAGAAAATGCTCCAAATCTATTATCGTCTAAATAAACTATTTAATTTGAATGGTCACGGATCCACCGCGCTTAGACCTTTTTGGGGGGTTTAAAATGTAAAATTAAGTTCCACCACAAATCTTAAAAAATGTAGAATTGAAGTGCACTTAAAAAATTTATCATAAATTATAGTTTTGATGTTGGAAAACTATCTAATTGATCATCTCGACATCGAGATGCATGAATATGAAAAAAAAGAAAAGAAAATTTCAATCTTAAAAATAGTGTATCTTGCAACACATTATCTGGACCGCCCATTTTCAAGATTTTTAAGTGTTTACAGATCTATTTGATTTGAACCTTTTTTAAAGTTTAAAATTTTATCATTAGAGATGAAAATAGATTCTCAAAACATCTCATAATTTTTAAACCAAAATTATATTTATGATAAAATTTGGAGGTGCGCTTTATACAAACCACACCTTTTTTACTTTGGGCAAGTCTACTTTGAGTCTGACTTACGAGTCCACCTAAGGTTTTTATAGATTTGGGATGTAAAATAAATCAATGGAAATACAATTATGCTGTAGATACAATTTTGGCAACTCCTATTCAAAAAAGAAAAACAGCGAAAGGAATAAAGGGTGGTGGCTTGGCAGTAGTAGCAGCTTAAGATTAAATTTAGGACTTTATTTTCACCGAAGGATAAGGGTTCAAATCCCCATTGACGTACCTAATTTTACAAGAATGGGCTGGAGCCTTGGCTCAAATACCACTGAGCTCATGATTAAGTCTCGGTCTCCATTCTTACCTAACGGTAAGGGCCCAAATCCCTACTTATGTACCTTTTTTTTGGGAATGGGGTTGTAGTCGTGGCGGCACCACCTGAGCCTCAACTAACAGCCTCCACTAACAGTTTAGGCTTCCATTCTCACTACACATTTGAAACCACAAACTATTTCTAAAACAGGTTGGGGCATGAATCCCCACTGATCTATCCAAAATAATTAAGGGGGTAACGGGTTAGGTTAGTTCAGGGGCCGAGTTGGCCAGCCCTGGACCTAGCCTAGTCCTTGTCCGCTTAAGCATCTCGACAGGTGTAAAGAACTGACACAAGTGTCCAAATCTGATATGTTGGAACTGACACAAGCCCTGGCCCTAGCCCAGCTCAACCATTTGGAATGTAGAAATCTGATACGTGTTGAGCATCTCAACAGGTGCGAAGAACTGACACAAGCGTTATGCAAACCATGCATGTGCTACATGTTTAAGAGATTCTTGAAATTATAATGGGATTTCTATTTTCAGGTGTCCATGCTTTCCAGGGAGAAGGCATGGCAGGTAGGCACATCCATCTGCACCATGATTCTTCCTTACGCATACACCTTCTTTTCTACCTCTTTTAGCCCTAACCAACGCCGACGTTCTCCAAAATAGTTTCTCTCTGTATCTCATTTAGACAAGGAAATTTGTTTCATCCGGGCTGGACTATATTTCTACAATATAAGGTCGGGAGACATAAAGTATCCATTTTAAAGATGGATGCAAATAGGTGATCCATATAAAACCAATTATAACTCACGGTCCAAACTTTTTTTTAATATAATAATTATTTTTAATTTTTAATTTTTTTTTTAATATTCATGATCTCCATGTTAAAGATTATATATTATCTAAGAATTAAGATCAAATTATATTTAAAAAATATATTTATTGCCAATCCTTCATTTCTACAATGTGTGGGCTGGCCGCATAGAAACCGTGTCCTTTAAATAAAGTCTCCACAGTCTCTCTCTCTCATAGCCACCTTTTAGAAAAGCCTGAATCAACCCACTTTCTTTAAGGAGTCTCTCTCTAACTCATTGAAACAAAGTTTCTCTCTCTCTCACTAAAAATGGTTGGACTATTCCGAAGACTACGATCAACGCGTGGAACATGGCCTTGAGCATCTTCTAGCTTTAGAAGGTAGTGATTAAGGCTGAAATTTTTTTTATTAAACCCCATATGGTCTCTCTTTTTAAAGATGATTGGATTATTCTCAAAATGACAAGGGCCATGGAGGAACTGTATGAGTATATTCTAACTTTAAAATGTACCTATAAATTAATTATCACTTTAGACTGTAGTTACCGGGAGTGCCCCTAGAGGTCATGGTTTTGGCTCAGGAATCTAGATGCTGCACTCCAAAGCTGGGATATTGACCGGAACTGTTTTTTTTGGTGCTTAATCCCTTTATTTGTGAATCTTGATCCCTATTATGTTGGGATCACGATCCTCAGATAGATTCAGGGATCTCAGTGCCATATATTTGTGGATCTTTATCCTCATCATGTGTTGATCCAAAACATCAAAATTAGATTACTAAACTATATCAAAAATTAAAATAATTAAAGTATTTAACACAATAGGAAGATTTAACCCTTTTCATTGCGCAATAAGATCTAGTTTCTATGAACATTGGGACAGCTTTCTTTTATATTTATGGGTCGAGGACCCCAATTTATACAGGTTGTGCTCCCCGGGTATTTGGGATCAAGATCCCATGAGAAGTGGGAAAGGCGGCCCTTGAAAAATAGGATGCGAGAGGTTTATATATGGGATCTAGCTTTCGGGGGTTGATACCCTCTACGAAGCACAATCTGAAAGTGCCAGAGCTTTAACCACCCAACACCCTTCGATCCGACGTTCCCGCTCCCAATCCTGGAGCTGTCCCCGCTCCGGCTCCTTGTAACTATGCTTCGAACTCTACCTACTTCGTTTGCTAAACTTTTTCTTCCCAAAATGAATATAAAAAAAAAAAAACACTTATTTCTTTAAAAAAGATTTAAATTTTTCACGAAGTAAATAGCATATCTCCTTTTGTTGGAGCTTCACTGTAAAACTCCAATTTTACCCTATAACGATACATTACAATATGGGTATTTTAGTCATTTGAAAGGCTAGAGCTGCATTCTACACTGAGCTTGATCATGCTAAATAGATGCTCTAGAGTTACTTCTTCAGTTCTTTGTTAGGAATCGTCATGAGCCACCCTTTATATAGCATTTTCCCTAT